GTGGTGATGGCTGCACAACATTATGAATGTATTTAATACCATCTATTATGCAATTAAAAATGGGTAAGATGTTACATATATTGTTTTTTACCACAATTAAAAAAATAATGAGGGAGTTCCAATTTCCAGTTCCACATATAAAGAGCTTAGAAGTTGCCGCTCTGTCCTAACAGACTGAAAAATTAGCAACTCTTCTTGGATCCATAAGAAAGGGGAGGTCGTGGGCAACTCTCTGACATAAGACTGCACAGGCATATGAATGCAGGCGGTGGCAGTTTACAGAAGCAGAGACTCACCATCAGAAACTGCCGATGAAAGCAGAAAGCAGTGCCAGGAAGGAAAACCTGAACTGTAATTGACAAATCACTGAAGGCTCAGTGTGGACAACTCAGAGTTAAAAACTGCAGGGGACCTAGTCATAAGTGGGCCCCACAATGTTGTGAGGTTTACTTGCAGGACAGATTCGCACAGCAAATTTCAGGGGAAAAAAAAAAAATCCCTTGGGTTTCCAGCAGGGGGAAAAGAAAAAGAATCATTTTGAAATAAGTCAGAGGACTCTGTTTTTAACTCAGCCTGCCCTAAGAGGAATCTAACTAACTAACCACAGCTTAAACCGTTGGGGTATTATTAGAGCCTAACTGGCCTGGGGAAGGGAAACACCAATTTCAACCCACTGTAACCATCCTGTCCCACATAAGAGAGTAGAAAAAAACGAGAAACACTTGTGAAGTTCACCTTCTAGAGCCACTAAAAAACTGAGACTAATCTTAAGGTTATTAAATGCTTCCCCTCCCCCTGCACCTCACCACCATATTACCAAAGGCCTATTTATATCAGTTCCTTTTACCCAGTACATCATGTCTGGGTATCAAGAAAAAATTAAGAGGAATGCCAAAAGTCAAAAAACACAATCTGAGGAGACAGAGCAAGCATCAGAACCAGACATAGCAGGGATGTTGGAATTTATAAGACCAGGAATTTAAAATAACTATAATTAATATGCTTAGGGCTGTAATGGATAAAGTAGACAGCATGCAAGAACAGATGGGCAAGCAACGTAGGCAGAGAGATGGAAATCCTAAGAACCAAAAAGGAATGCTGGAGATCAAAAACAGAAATGAAGAATGCCTTCGATGAGCTTATTTAGTAAATGAAAATGGTTGAGGAAAGAATCTCTAAATTAGAGGATATATCAATAGAATCCTCAAAAATCAAAAAAGAGAGAGTAAAGACTGAAGAAAAAAAAAAGGAAAAAGACTATCCCAGGACCGTGGGAAAAACACAAAAAAGATAACATACATGTAATGGGAATACCAGAAGAAGAAAGAAAGGAACCAAAAAAGTATTTGAAGTAATAATGACTGAGAATTTCCCCAAAATTAATGTCAGCTACCCAAACCAGGAACACCAAGCCAGATAAATGCCAACTATTTTGGAAAACTTTTTGAAACTAATTACAAATGCTGAATATGTTCTTCCCCCATGACCTAGCACTTTCACTCCTAAGAATATACAAAACAAAAATATACGAAACACCTTTTGCATATCTTTTGCACCAAAAGATATGCAAAAGAATATTGATAGCGGTAATACTTGTAATAGCCCAAAACTAAAAACATCTAAATTTCCATCAATACAATGGATTGGCTACACAAATTGAGATGTAGTCATACAATGAATACTAGCAATGAAAATAAGTGAACTACAAGCTGCACAAAATGACATAGATGAATCTCACAAACATAATATGTACAAGTCAGACACACTAGGACAAATGCACAAGTGTGTTCTCTTTGTGATCATTTAACAAGATACTTATGATGTGTGCACTTTTCTGAATGTTCTACTTCAATCAAAATTTTTAAATGCAAATGTGATAAATGTTCATTTGAAGAAACGTTACTGTTTCTAATAAAGGTTACTTGCCTTGCCAGTTTCCTTACATCCTTGACTGAATTGAACTTGTCTGTCTCCTCTAAGTAGTGGGGTGCCTCCTGAGGAGAGTGCCCCGTCAGAGTTTAAATGTTTTCTCTTCAACAACAATTTGTCAGCTGCATTTTGGTCAAGGACTAAAAGTCACCTTGAAGCAGATCTTCCTTTTCCTAAAAATAATCTCTTAAGTGAGTTCCTGTTCTCGGATAGAGGCTTATTAGCAAAACTAAGTATTAGCAAAACTATGTTGAATGGCTTTAAGTATGATCCTTTGTAGAGGTAGTCACCAAGGAAGAAGTAGGAACAAGGGTTCTAAGGTTTCTGTGCTGGAAGGTAGTGTTAAGTGGTCTATTGCTAAGAGGTCTATTAGGAAATTAAAACAACTCTATGGCATATGACCCAGAAGTCTAATCTCTTCCTAGGAAACCCTTAACCTTGTTCCTGCTGCCCATACCTTCTGCCCCATTTCTCAACTGCTTTGCCCCACCACCTATTGACTCAAATCTTTCCCATCAACTCAATTTGTGCCATTCCCACTGCCCCAGGGTGGCCTAACATCCCACGGATTTGATTAAAAGAGGGATTGGAAATTAGATTCTAGACAGTTTGGCTTCAAAGTCTCCTTTCCTAAGAGTACATTAATAAAACTGCTCAAGATAAGGAGGCAGGATCAAACCTGAAGCCCCTTGAACACACAACCACACTGGAAGGAAGGAGTAGGGACTTTTTTAAAAGATTGTGTTCAAATGGATTTAATTACCACAAAATTTGTCATAATACAGTCTGCAAATGTGAGTTTTTGAGGACTTGTATCCAACAGAGAACATGAAAGATCAGACACAGACTGTGAATGTGATAATTGGCATAGTAGTGCAGTGATAGAAATGACAGAATGACTTAAATGCACAAGTCAGAATGCCATACATACACAGAGCAATTCAGCCCCTACTTCGTCTCACTGGCTTGTGGGATTGAAGTATTACACACGGGAAATGACTGGTGCACATTATTTGTACTCCAAACTATGTACAACTCTGGCTTCACCTATAAATTAACTAGATTCTTCTCTGTGAAATGTTTTAAAAACATTTTCACATAATCTTTTTTTTTTCAAAACAGTCCTTTAAAGTAAGCAAGCAGTCATGGAAGAGTACTATTTGTCCTCCAACATGAATTACTCCCTCTTCCTCAGTAACATAACCCCCAAAATGTCAGGCTGCTCAAAATACAGACTATAGCATGCTAGTGTTTCATTAATTTTTGTTATTCAAAGTTTATTTCAAAATGCATGTGTATTTCCTTACGTTTGAAACTTACATAATTCTTCCCAGATGTATACATATTTTTTTAAGCTGAATCATTTTCCAAGCATACTATTAGTCCTTTAAATAAATTTTTCTTGTCATCACAGGCTTTTCATAACACCTAACATCCTTTGAAAATTTAATCAAGATGCTATGTATTTCCTCTCACAGCTCATTAAGATGTCAATGTAACAATGCTGCTTATCAGCCACTGTAGTAGATTCCTTTCATTTCATATTATTCCAAGGAAGGTTTCAATCTACAGTCTATTTTTATTGAGATTGGACTGAATTTTTAAGTCTAACTTTACAATGATAATACTAATTTATAAAAATATAAAATATCCATTATCAACTTTATTCTCTTCACTAATATTACAACTCTGTAGGAGTAAAAATACATCTGAAGTTACTAAATTTGTCTGGCAGGAGACCCTCCTACACCTCCCCAACACCCTCCCCCCACCCCGCCCACCAAATCATTATTTGCTGATAATAACCTCGATATATAAATTTTTTAATTTTTTTTGGATCCCAATTAAATCTTCTCAAGTATAGAAGTATTGTCGTGGATTACTGGACAGTTTGCCATGAAAATTAATCTAAGGTCTATTAGTCCACATTGTCGCAAATATGCATTTGGATTATATACCTCTACTTTCCCAACCAATCCCATACCTACACTGGCCTTAGAGAATTTTTATCTCATGTTTAAAATATTTTCTATTATCATATTCTTAGGTGCCATCCCTTCTAAATATTAGAGTTGTGATAAACCAAGGTCAAGCCTGGCCACAGAAAGGCCCTAAATACACATATATAGAAAAGTCCTAAATTCCTTTCACATATAATCTGTAGCACAAACAAAGAAACAGTGACCACATATATAACATGTACAATGATTTGCAAGAAGCGGAATAAAAAACTAGGCCTGAGTGACTTGCTGAGCAACAGAATAATTAATTTATATAACAGTATAAAGTGTTGCTCCCTCACTTTCTATCCTTGTGTCCTGCTTAATATTTATTCCACAACCTTTAGTATCACTGCAAGAACACATTTGTTTTTTATATGTCTCTCCATCAATGGAAGGTAAACTCCAAGAGAGCAGTCAGGGAAGGCATTTTCGAACACATTCCACTTTCAATATATCACTCAACTGCAATCAACTTGTGATCTGAAATAGATTTTCACGGCATGGTGTTAGGCCTTAAAAGAACAGACAAAAATACACTAGAAAAGGAATGTCCCCTCTTCTTTCATCTCCCCACTTTTTGGTCTCTGCCTATAGGGAAGCTGGAATTTCCATTGAAATCCACCCATTCCACGCATCTGGCCCCTCCCCAGCCCTTCACCCTCAGTAAGGAAGAATGACTAATCTAACCAATCAAGAGTTTGATATTAATTTGGCCCTGTTTCACTGAAGGGTGAGATCACTGAGGTAAGACAGCCCAGGTTCTTGCTACATGTTTGGCAAGGAGTCTAACGATCTGCTTTGCAAAACCAGTCAAGTCTCCATGAGCAGCATGCATCGATTCAGGGTGGGAGGTTTCATACCTAAGCCATGTTCCCCAGTACAGCTTTTCCCTAAGAACCTGGAATTGAAGGTTTCAGGGTGCTTGCATAGATTAATAGTTTGTACCAATATCCCACATGGACAGTAATCTTTGAGTATATACTACATCAGTCAAAACGCCAGAGGAGTTCTGACTTTCTAACTCAAGTAAAATATAATAGAAAAAACAGAAAATAATGTAATACTTCATTGGTGCTAAATTAACTTAGTTTAATAAATTTGTCTTTAATACAAGTGTAAAACAAGATTTCTGCAATTTCAACTATAGTTAAACCAAACTTCAAAACCAAGTCAACAATTAGTAACATGTTAATTTTGAAAAGTCAACTACAAGAGTATCAAATATAATAAAGAACTCAAATATTTAATGCCTTCTGTCACGATATTAAAAATAAACTTCTTAGCATTCCAAGGCTATCAAAGGTCCTAACACCCCTCCCAAAAAAATAATTTAACAAGTAAAAGTATAGTCCCTGCTGGTCTTTCTATTTGTTAAAAATGTTTTAAAATAAACAAAAAAAACCTTCTAACTTGAATGTGATGTGAGTACTTCTTAGCCATCCAAAAATGACAAATAAATATTAAATCTTTGCAGGCAGCAGATTCATGGTTTGGATAGAAGAAATCATGTCAGTCATAGAGTTTTAAAGTTATAACTGGACTTTTAAATTACAAAATAAAGCAAGAAAGTGAAACTAGACTTAAAGTCATTCTACCATATGAGATTTCAGTTTGTTTCTTCTTGCTTAGCTGGTTACTACCTAAAGGCCCAAGGACAATGCTCATTAGAGCTAAGCATTTTCACATAAGGGTAATTAGTTTTAATTTAAAATAAAATTAATAATATATGTACATATGTATTAAAATAAACATATGCAAACTAGAAAGACATTTCAACAAGAAAACTAAAAGGCTCCTATTAGAAGTGATATAAATGGGGAAATTTTTAATTGAAATACTTTTTCTTGAACCATTAATATGATACTACCATCAGTGAATTCAAACCAAGATCAGAAAGAAGAGTATGAGAAATGTTGAGAAGAATAATTTCTCCTACAGTTAAAACAAATGTTTTAAGGAGAGAGAAAAAATATAAACTCCTCAAATGAAACTTACAAAGCAAAACATGGGACAAGTAATTTATTCAAAATTACACCCTTGATTTTCTTTTGAGGAAAAAAAAACAGTATAAACAAGGGTATGAAACAGACTTCGAGACTCATGCTAATACTGTTCTCACTGAAAAATACCACTAGAAAAAAACTAACAAAATTTCAGATATTTCCATTCAATGTAGACAAAAAATACATGTTTACATCTGAAATATAAACTAGTAATTTATTTCCATTCATAATAGAAAGTGATTTAAAGTTTACTGTTTCCAGTGCTCAAAATTAAACAGGAATTGTTTTCCATATCTAGAAATTATAATGGTAATGTGAAAGAAAAGTTTTAATTTTGCTGAACTAAAGCTCAAATAGATTCTAATAAAAACTATGTATGAAAACACCTAAATTTAAAAAAAGCTTTACTTTTTATAATTTTACAATGATAATAGATTTACTTTTTCTAACATTAAAAAAAACTAGCTTTTATCAATATAAAACTATAAAATAATCACAATAGAATATTTCTATATAACTTAGAAAAACGATTTCACATGATACACTCCTAACACTCAAGAATTACAATCCAGAGAGGGATAGTTTCCCTGAAACAGAAAAAAGTTCTTTCTTTTTGTCACCTCCATTCCTTATATATAATCTTTATTTCACATCATTTACATAGAAATATTTATCACAATCTGACAGGTAGATATGAAAAAAAATTTTTGCCTTCTAAAACTCATCAAGTAAATTTATTCAGTCTTCTTAGTATGTTTCTTTTTAACTTTATCTGAAGTATCAGCTATAGGTTTTGAGGTCGATGAACCAGTACCATTGAAAGATGATTTTGTTTCATTTTTCTTTTCACATGATGAGAACTGTTGCTGCCAGCCAAACAGCATCCGACTCAGCGTATCCTCAATAGAAGAAAAAGGCATAGTAGCAGTCTCTGTAATCATCATGGTTATCTGGAAAAAAAAAGTTCAATTTTGAATTTAAATACAAATGTTTTCTTTCCAAAACTGAGAGGGGAAAGTAAAAAAAGAAAAACTGCAAAATATGTTCTTTTTTTTATTCAAGTATAACTGACATATAACATTACATTCGTTTCAGTTGTACAATATATGATTCAATATTTGAATATACTGCAAAATGGCCACAATACATAGTTAAGCAAAAAAAATGTTTTTCTCGTGATGAGAATTTTTAAGATCTACTCTCTTAGCAACTTCCAAATAAGGAATACAATATTATTATAGTCACTATGCTCTACATTGCATCCCAATGACTTATTTTTGAACTGGAAGTTTACATCTTTTGAGCCCCTTCACCCTTCTGGTCCTCCACCACCCGCTGCCTCTGGCAACCAGCAATCTCTTCGTTGTATCTATGAGCTTTTTAAAATTTTTTTGGATTCCATATAAACTGAGATAGTACTATACTTGGCTTTTTCTGTCTTATTTCACTTAGCATAATTCCCTCAAGGTCCATGCATGTTGTCTCAAATGGCAAGATTTCATTACTTTTTTGATTGAATAATATTTCACTGTATAATGCCACATTTTCTTCATGCATCCATCCACTGGTGGATATTTAGGTTCTTTCCACATCTTGGCTATTGTAAATAATGCTGCAATGAACATGGGGGTGCATATATCTTTTTGACTTAGCATTTTCATTTTCTTTGGATAAAAACCTAGAAGTTAAATTGCTAAATCCTATGGTAGTATTACTTTTAATTTTCTGAGGAGCCTCCATACTGTTTTCCAGAGTGGCTGCACCAATTTACATTTGCCCGCCAACAGTGCATGAAGGTGACCTTTTCTCCACATCCTCACCAACACTTGTTATTTCTTGTCTTTTTTATAATAGTCATTCTAACAGGTGTGAGGTGATATCTCATTGTGGTTTTGATTTGCATTATTTCCCTGATAATTAGGGATGTTGAGCATCTTTTCATGTGCCTGTTGGTTATTTGTATATCTTCTTTGGGGAAAAAGAATCTACTCAGGTCCTTTGTCCATTTTTAAATTGAGTTATTTAGTTTTTCTGCTGAGTTATTTTACATGAATTCTTTATATTTTTTGGATATTAATCCCTTATCAAATATACGGCATGCAAGTATTCTTTCCCATTCAGTAGACTGCCTTTTCATTTTGTTACTGGCTTCCTTTGCTGTGCAGGAGCTTTTTAGTTTGATATAGTCCCACTTGTTTATTTTTGCTTTGACTGCCTTTGCTTTTAGTGTCAGATTCAAAAAATCATTGCCGAGACCAATGTCAAGGAGATTACTGCCTTTTTTCTCCTATAAGTGTTATGGTTTCAGGTTTTCTGTTCAAGTTTTTAATCTATTTTGAGTTGCTTTTTGTGTAGGATATGAGATACGGGTCTAGTTTCATTGTTTTGCCAGTGGCTATACAGTTTTCCCAAAGTCATTTATTAAAGACTATCCTTTCTCCATTGTATATTCTTCGCCCTTTTGGCATAAATTAACTGACCATACGTGTATAGGTTGATTTCTGGGCTCTCAATTTTGTTCCATTGTTCTGTGTCTGTTTTAATGCCAATACCACACTGTTTTGATTATTATGGCTTTGTAATGTAGTTTGAAGTCAGGGAGTGTCATGACTCTAGCTATTTTTTTCTTTCTCAAGATTCCTTTGGCTATTTGGGGTCTTTTTGTGGTTCTATACAAATCTTAGGATTATTTGTTCTATTCCAGTAAAAATGCACTGAAATTTTGATAAGGATTGCACTGAATCTGTAGAGTGCTTTGGGTAGAATGGACATTGTACTGATATTAATTATTCTAATCCATGAACATAGAATATCTTTCCATGTATTTGTATCTTCAATTTTTTTCATTAATGTCTTATAGTTTTCAGTATACAGGTCTTTGACTTCCTTGGTTAAATTTATTTCTAGGTATTTTACTCTTTTTGATGTAATTGTAAATGGGATTATTTTCTTAATTTCTCCTTCTGATAGTTATTCATGTATAGAAACACATCAGATTTTTGTATGCCATAACGTTATCGAATTCATTTATTAGTTCTAACGGTTTTTGGTGAAGACTTTAGGGTTTTTTATAGAAAATACTATGTCATCTACAAATATAGGCAGTTTTACTTCTTCCTTTCCAATATGGATGCTTTTATTTCTTTTTCTTGGCTAAGTGTTCTTGCTGAGGCTTCCAATACTATGTTAAATAAAAGTGGCGAGAGTGGGCATCCTTGTCTTGTTCCTAATCTTAGAGGAAAAAGCTTTCAGCTTTTCACTGCAGAGTATGATGTTAGCTGTGGGCTTATCATATAGGGCCTTTATTATGTTGAAGTACATTCCCTTATACCAACTTTGTTGAGAATTTTTATCATAAATGAATGTTGAATTTTGTCAAATTATTTTTCTGCATCTATTGAGGTAACATATGCTTTTTACCTTTCATTTTGTTAATGTGGTGTATCACATTGACTGATTTGCTGTTGTTGACATCCCTTGGAATAATCTCACTTTATCATGGTCTATAATCCTTGTAACGTATTGTTGAGTTCAGTGTGCTAACATTTTATTGAGGACTTCTGCATCTATGTTCATCAGGGATATTGACCTGTAATTTTTTCTGAGGGGTCCTTATCAGGGTAATGCTGGCATTGTAAATGAGTTTGGAAGCATTCTCTCCTCTTCTATTTTTTGGAAGACTTTGAGAAGGATTGGTATTAACTCTCCTTTGAATGTGTGGTAGAATTCCCCAGTGAAGGTGCCTGGTCCTAGACTTTTGTTTGTTGGGAGATTTTTGATTACTGATTCAAAAATCTTCTCACTAGTAATTGGTCTGTTCAGATTTTCTGTTTCTTCATGATTCAGTCTTGGTAAGTTGTATGTTTCTAGAAATTTATTCATTTCTTCCAGGTTATCAAATTTGCTGGTGTTTAAATATTTACAGTAGTCTCTTATGATTCTTTGTATTCTGTGGTATTAGCTGTAATGTCTCCTCTTTCATTCCTACATTGTGTTCTTGTTTCTCTCTCTCTCTCTCTCTCTCATTTTTTTGGTGAGTCTAGCTAAAGGTTTATTAATTTTTATCTTTTCCAAGAACCATCTCTTAGTTTCACTGATCTTTTCTACTGTCTTTAGTCTATTTTATTTATTTCTACCTGACTTTTGTTATCTCCTTCCTTCCACTAACTGACTTCATTTGTTCTTTCTCTCACTCCTTGAAGTATAGTTAGGTTGTTTGAGATTTTTCTTGCTTCTTGAAGTAGACATTTATTGCCATGAACTCCCCTCTTAGCACTGCTTTTGCTGCACACCATAAGTTTTGGCATGTTGTAGCTCCATTTTCAATTGTCTCAAAATTTCTCTTCTGATTTCTTCTTTGACCCACTGCTTATTCAGTAGCATGTTGTTTAATCTCTACATATTTATGAATTTTCCAGTTTTCTTCTTGTAATTGATTTCTAGTTTCATATAATTATGGTTAGAAAAGATGGTTGATATGATTTCAATCTTCTTAAAGTTTTTTAAGACTTGTTTTGTGACCCTACATATGCTCTATTCTAGAGAATGTTCCATGTGTGCTTGAGAAGAATGTGTACTCAGTTGCTTTTGGACGGATTGCTCTGTATACCTCTGTCAAGTCCATACAAGTTAACGTCGCATATGAGGCTAGTGCTTCCTTTTGATTTTCTGTCTGGACGACCTATCCATTGATGCGAGTTGAGTATTAAAGTCCCCTACTATCATTGTATTGGAAAAATTCTTAAAATATACTATTAGATGAAAATGAGACAAAGAACGAGAGCTGTAATGTTCTATTACCACTATATAAATTAAAAATACTTGCACACACAACACTGTAAATGTACTAAATGCTACGGAATTGTATACTTTGAAATAGTTGATTTTGTTATATGAATTTGACCTCGACAAAAATAAACAAACAAAATAACTTTTGATGCATGCACATGGACTTCAGGCCAGCCATTACCGAATATCTTCTATCAGACTCAATCTGTCTCCAAAATCAATACAAAAGACAGAAATACATAAAACAACTGCTAAAAGGCACTGGAGAACAACAATGGCTGAGGCTGACCAATACAGGCGACCCTGATGGCAGTATGATCTCTAAGAGAAAGGAAGCTGAACAAGGTGAACTCTGCTTTCACCCTGGCTTTTTCTTTTAAGTACATGTGTACATTCACAGCACAGGAGAATAAAAAGCAAAAGTCCCAAATGGGCTAAGGAGACACAGGCTAGAGTCTGAGAAGGCCAAAGCATCTAAGACTTGAGGGCAATACAGCTCTAACACAAGGGAACCACATGGAAGTAAGCCCAAAAATCCATGCATAATCTGTCCTAGAGGAGTTTACCTAAACTGTGGAAACATAGAAAGTAATTTAAAAAAACCTAGCACAGAGCAAGAGCCAGGACACCAAAGAGCTGAGCAGACATTTCAGAGGCCAACTGCGTGGTGCTGGGAGGACAGGTTGAAGTTCAAGGCTAGGCAAGGTGGAACTGCCCAGGGATACAACTCAGGCTTAAAGTAAGACCCCAAAAGGGTCGCATTCTAGAATGGCAAATCTGAAATAGAACAGCACTAACAAAGCCTAAAATTGTCAACAGAGTTTAAATAACCTGCTTGTGCATTGCACCTGGCAACCAGAAGAATGTGGAAAGTAGTCCCTATCCTCAAGGACCTTACAGGCTAGTCAGAAACAAGCAAGTAAATTAGTAAATACAGAACAGTAAAGAATAAGTGCAGTAACAGAGGTATGCCCTGAAACATTTAAGTACAGAATATAGATTTAGAAATCATTACAACTAAAAGGTAAAGGCACAATATGAATGTGCTTACCTGGAAAGAATATAGAGTGAGAAGAATCTAAATATAATTTAACCTCCAAATCTATGCCATTATTCGGTAAGATTTAAGAAGAATTTCTTTATATTATTCTTTAGAATAAAT